TAGAAATCTAGATTTTAGTCTGTTTGTGAATTATAAATGTGATCAAGTCATTATCATTTGTATCTAAGTTTTCACCAATTTTTAGTTCTGTGATCAGTTTTTCTTTATTTGTCAAGAAGAGGTCTAGTATACAATTTTCCTATGTTGGATGCAACATTTTTTTGAATTAGGAGATTGCCGTAATATTTAGAAATGCCAGGATATTTTAATACTGGCATCAAGGCACCTCCAGAATGGGTCATTTAAAATGAAGTCTCCCATGATCATGCAGCTTACCCCCATATTATATATTGGTTAACTTTGTTTCCTAATATGATTTGGGGGGCTACAGGACACACCAACTAATTCCCCATCTTGCACACGGATCCATAAGGCATTAGACACCATTTTCTCTTGAATATTCAGTGACTCGGAAACAGCTGTTTTATGATCTAGTGTGTCATTTCCATTCTTCTTTCTTAATATGCTATAACCATTGATTTTAATGTTCCAATTATGTGAATCATCCCCCCAGAACTACTTGCAAACTGCTAGTACTGCCAGAGAAACTGCACAGCAATCTAGCCTAGGAAGAGAACATCTGCAAAATATTATGTCCCCCTACTTTTTTCTCATAATAAAAGCACATAATCCAAGCTTCATCAAAAAATTTTTCCACATATTGGATAATCCTACCAAGAACAAATCTATGTTTTGAATAGATATTTTTTGGAGCTTTTATAGGAGCCAGACTAGAAGGTTCATTTCATGTGTTTTCAGGGTTGTCCCCTTTTTAATTATGAAACAAACACATGCATGCATACATGAGTGCATGTCTATATATATTTTTCACATATAATTTAACTGTATCTATAGACGTGTGTGTGTAAATATGTACACACACACAAAATTACTACATCAAATTTAAGGACATAAATCCTCACAGATCATTTTCTCCAGCTAGTTGACCACAGATTAAAGTCACTAAATTAAAACAGGTGCTATCACTCTTTATGACTAGAGGCAATGAAGTTATAAATGTAAAATTATGACCTAACATCTATAATCAAGCTAAAAGAGAAGTTGAGTTGTGAGAAGGCATATTCATGTACTATTGGCTACTGTAGGAAGCAAGTGATCTGAAATTATGGCCTCCTTTTATGTTGGTGTTGATTGCTTTACTATACATGAAATTATCTTATTAATCCTCTATTCATTTATTGAAAAGACATCTATATTCCCTAGTTATCTTAATATAACATTCTGCTAGACTAAAGAAAAAGATAACTGCAAGACAAAGCCAAACCAAATGAAAATCAGAAAGAAGATCAGATCAAATAAAAAAGAATACATGCAAAGCACAATTTTTCCCCTCTAAGGCGATTACAAAGGTAAATGTAAGAATTAAAATGTCAAGAGAGCTCTATATGTTAAACAATTCTACCAAGAAGTGCATGCGTTCAAAAAAGTATTGCAGGTTAGGTGATTTGCAACTGGTATTGTATAGGAGCTATGACAGGTACTGAAAAAACAAACACTTGTGAATACAACACTTAGTGAGGGAAAACAAATGCCGGTAAAAGGCATGGTGACATGCCTGTCACATTCACAGTGAGTGACATTCATTTGTTGTGAATTAAATTTGCACATGCCCCATGACTGCTATGTTGCATTTCCTAGTGGATGTCAACAGGGGATGTGGATTCCGTTAATCCTTTTTTCCCCACACACAAAAAAGTGCAGTCTAAAAGGCTGAATCTCCAGATGCCCTAATGGTTTCTTTTATATAGGGAAATAAAAGCACAGTGTCAATATTTCCACTTTCTAACTTTTTGGTGGCTGACGGTGATGGTTTTTTTTGGTTTGTTTGTCTGTGTGTTTTCAGTTGATATTTGGAAACTTCATTGACCAGATAATGGGATCTAATGATGAGTGAAAAGAGTGCTGCAGTTCAATTAAGGCTGAAAGGAGTAATAGAAAGCAGCCCACGTGGATGCCTCACCAAAGTCAAAACTATGCAGGAAAAAATAAAAAACAGTTGAATGTGTGTGGGGGAAAAAAGCCCCAAGACAATCTGCCAACTGGAAATTGTAAAAATGCTGTTGGCGCCACACAAAGAGAGGCCATATCATTGCCATATTCAGCATGTTAATTATCTGCTTTCAGATTAGAGATAAAAAAGCAAGGAGAGCAAGTTAGTAGGAATCAGACTAGTGATTTATGTTTTCAGCAGAGGCGGAAGTCACAACTAATGTTAGCGGTTGTGTTGTGTCTGTATACATATCACAGGTCTGGTTTATGCATACACACACAGACATAGAATATATATTCTATTGGTTTGTGTAGAGAAGATACTGGAACAGTTGATTATTTCAGAGCAGTGCAGCACTGGAGAGCCAGAAGTTAGTATGGAGAGTGATGGTAACGCACAGAAGGGGAGCATGGGAAGGTTTTAGAAGAGCTCGCAGGACAGAGGTGCTCCGCTCTTACCCCATTACTTTGGGTGGAGTGAACTGACTGCTCGCTGGTCGAAGAGCATGTGCTCATGCGGTCTGTGTCCTTGCTGTGTGAAGAGTGGCGGTGGACCTGGCGCTGGAGGGAGTCATTGTCCCCAGGGAAAGTGAAGGAGCCAGGGCGGCTGGCAGGGGATGCTGGGATGGAGCTCCAAAAGGAGCCCTTCTGCAGGGGGCTGCTGGGTGGAAAGGTTTCCTTGCCAAGAGGAGAAGGGAAAGTCGTGGAGAGAGGAGAGTTCATTGGAGAGATGGCTCCTGGCCTTGGCTTCCCAAGCGTCAGAGATCCTATGTTGCTCCTTGAACGATTGTCCTCCAAGCTCCCGCGCAATTCTTTCTGGGCTCCGTCTGCTGACCCAGAAACGTTTCCAGCTGTCTTCCTGGGGCTCTCAATAACTTTCATCTTGGGAATCTGCTCAGCTTTTCTCTCAGGACCATCCGTTTCTGCAATGGGAGGGTGCCTGCCTGGCTGGCTGAGGCCAGTCTCTAGGGATGTGCTGTGGGGTGGCAGGGAGGGATTATGAATGGACATACCTGACATCTTGTCTGCCTCTGCTTGGGCGGAGGCTGCAGAGGAGACCAGGACTGGGGAATGGTGTCTGACAGGCTGGGGGATCCGGGAGGGCCTGCTACGGCTGGAGCTGGTAATTCCACTACAGCTGCTGGGGCCACTGCTGTTGCTGCTGCCACCGCCACCACTACTGTGGTTCTTCTGATACTCAATTGGTGATGTCAAGGCTGAAATTTAAAACAGGGAAAGGAGCAGAGGGAGCAAGAAGAGGGCAGGTTAAATATGAATACGCTTAATGCTGCTGTAGAGTTGGATCAACAAATCTTTTCTCTTTACTAACACCTTTAACCCACTGATGTCAAAATGCCTTGCAAACATTAATGCTTCATAGCATCCCCACAAGACAAGTGAGTAGGTAATAGTATATTTCCCAAACAGACAGGGAAGCTGAGGCCAGAGGTTAAGCAATTTCTCCTAGGTCACAAGTCAGTGGCTGAGCTGTAAATACCTGCCACAACTCCTCTTCTCTAACCACCAAACCCTATTTCTAACATGTCTTTTTACATGGATTTTCAAATCAGTTAATTTACAGTGAAAAAAATCTACGATGAGGAAGAATGAGCATTTCAAAACCAGAAATAGTAGCGTAAATGTCAGTGAACATGCCCTTTTGAGATCTGTGGCAATTCCTAGCTTTTCCTAGCTTTTTCCTGGTGACATTAAATTGTTTCCTGTAAAGCACTTTGAAATAGTCAATTACTGGCCACTACCCAAGTTCAAAATACCATTGTTGTAATAGAGGGGTGACATTTGCTGGGAAGTGAAAACATTGGACATGTTTCTTCTCCCCAGCTGGAATGCATGCCACTCCAGAAGACAGAAAGAAAAATCTTTTGAGTTACTATTGGAACTAGGTCAGATGAAATATAAAGGAGAGCAAGTAGTTGTGGCATCCAATATGGAGCGTGGGGCAGAAAGATTAACACAAATGATTTACCATTCAAAAAATTACGCTGGTTTTCCAGAATTTGGTTGATTTCATGGATCCACAACTGGCGCATGCCTGGATTGGCAGAATGCAAAACAAAGGTCTCTGTGACATCACCCATTCTTGATGTTAGTGCAAATTTACAAGGATCATTGTCCACGTTTTCCTCCAGGCAAAGACAACTCACCTTAATGAAAGAAAATTTTTTACTGGACCAATTATATTCCAAAGATACCATAAATATGCCCTAGACAGTAGCTTTGAACTGCTACAGTCTTTGAACATTCAACATAATAATTATATCATGGAGTCAGGATTACCGTAAAATAAAATATGAAATGAAACTCAGAATTAATGATGAATACTTGTCATCCTTGTCACCCCACTTAAGATCTCACTTAGTCATTAAGGCACCAAAGCATTTTTCATGTCGGACAGAAGTCAAAGTGATCCATTCCAAGTAAGCACTGTGAAATTCCCCTTACCAGACTCCTCCTTTCACTCCTTCCTTTTATTTAAAATACTGCAGTAGATTTGTATTTTTAATTTGCAGTATATAAAATTTTCACTGCAAGAAAGCAACTATTTCCAAGGAAGTACAAGCTGCCAAGTCAGAGTAGGATCACAAGCACAGCTTGAATCCACAGCTCAGTATAGCCAATCAGATCATCCCATGCTTATACCACTCTACTCTAATGCTCGGAACTCCCCAGTCAGATTACTTCTGGGCATTTCAAAGCAGCACACTACTGCTTCAGGGTCATGCCAAAATGTTTCAGAGACTAACCTGTGGAAGTCGAGAGAGATGATCTGACAGATGAGCTAGTCAAGATTTCAGTACTGCTGGCAAGCATTGCATCTGGCTTGGGCTGAGATTTCTTGCAAATAATACTTTCGAGTTACTGCCTTCAAGCTTTAAGATATACACTTCTACTATAAGGGCAATTACCTCTGATAGGATGTGAACACCAAGTTGAGACGCAGCCCTTTAGTACAGAGTCGTGGTGTCCATGCAGCTATTTGACTGGTTGAGTGTGTTTAGAGGTCTAGAACAATGTGACTATTTGGCTAGTTGAGTGTGGCTAGTTTGCTGCTTTAGAAATGGATGGATACCATGGGTGTAGAGCATGGGTTCCCAAACTGGGGAGGGAGTGAAGAAATTCCAGAGGGGAGGAGGAGGCGCAAGGCAACCCAGCCCCCCCCCAATCAAGTTTTGCTGCCCTGGTCAGTTCCCTTTTTTTTTTTTTTTCTCAACAAGTTTTGCTATTTTTTTTCGGGGGTGGAGGGGAGAGGGAAGGCATGAGGGCTTTTCAAAAATCAAAAAGGGAGCATGATGACAAAAAGTTTGGGAACCACTGGTGTAGAGCATATCTAAGTTACAATGAATACATGTGTATTGCTATAGTTAAGACAGAAGAGGTCAGAAAGCCTTCGTGGAAATATTTTCATGTGTTGTAATAACTGAGCAAAGAATTGCTTGCAAGTATTTTTAATAGAGAGTTTGGCACTTACTATTTTTCTAGGTTTACTGGTAAAGACATGAGTTCATGACTGTGTAGGCCATTACCAAAAGATGATTACCTTGGTACCCATTGCACAAACCCTATCGTGCTCATAGACAACAGTTACCTTGATACTGTTTTTAAACAAGAATCCCGGCATGGAGAAACCTTTCTTTTTATCTAGTGGCTCACTGAATATGACAATCTGTTCAAACAGGAAGACACGCCTTTCTTTGCAACGTGGCAGAAGTCCTGTGTCTTGGTCTGTGACCAGGAATGTGTCCTGTAGCAGGAGCTTACCCTGGGCTACAATTTTACCCTACAAAACAGAAGCAGAAACAATTTCATTTAATACATTACTTTTTCTGAAACTCTCCACAATTAAGAGACTTCAAGGGAAAAAAAATCTTATTGCAAGGTTTTTGGTTTTTTTTATCATTCAAAGTAGTTTTTATGTATATGTTTGCTGATAGATACATGAGAGAGAGGCACTAACCCCAAAAACTTAAATCATATGTATGCAACTGATTTTTTGCGGTATGCTAATTTCAGAATGATGCTATCATAACGAAAACATTTCCAATGCTGATAGTTCCTCAGTTCAATTTTACTGACATAGGAGTCAAGTAGTGCTAGAAACAAGACTGGCCACATTTTCTGTAACATGGGCGAAATGCCGTACTAGGCTGACCTGCTCTTCGGAAGAGATTCTCATTTCCTATTTTGCATCAACATAAGTAGGAGCAAAAATTTGTGTCACAGACCGTGAGAAACACATAGCCATCCTAGCTACGATATAAATTCATCTGGGAATGTGTCATAAGGAGAATAGAAATGTGTGTTCCATTTTAAGAAAAAAGACAACTTACATCAAACCCTTGCAGGCGGCCAACATTCATCATGTCGTTGCACCGTTTTGGTACTATGCACATGACCTCTACAGCTTTCTGTTAAAGCCAAGGAGAAAGATTCAAAATGTAACTCTCCAGTGGAGGATTGTGTGTGTGACAGCAGGGGCTTTACAATATAGTTTAGTGTATTTAATCTGCAGGACAATTAGAGCTGAAACAGAACAGTAGTTTTATATAAACAGACTTGTTCAGTGCCACACTGTACATAAAAGAAATGTGGTGCATGATATGAAAGACAATAAAGAAAATGTCAAAAGTACCTCTAGTTCTGTTGTGTCAAGGTTAGCTTTTTTAGAGTATTTGAGGAAGTCCTGTAATGGAAAAGGCAAAATTATCTCAAGTCCAAATTGCTCTTCAACAAACAGAGAAAGCTGAACAAAATGGACTGGCTCTTATTTGTGTTAGTGTTACAAGTTCCAAAAAGATGCTCTTAAGAAAATAAGAAAAAGACTTAATTTTTCAAAGCCTCTTCCTGACATGAATTGTGTGTTTTTAGTGTTAGGTTTTGTATCTGATTTTGGATCACTGAACAACATTTACTAAGTCAATCAATCCTCTTTGGTAGAACGGGTCAAAATACATTTTGCCAAACATTCAGAAAAAAGGTGCTAAAAATAATAAAAGTGATTAAAAAAATCAGAGGAAAATCAAAAAAATTTGTCCTTCAGTCACATTAGTGCAAATCCTAAGCTTTCCCACTACATTGAAGAGTTACACTGGTTTAAATAGTATCAAATTTGTGTCTAAGCTATTTACTGTTATTCTGAGAATTATGTGAACCCAAGTGAGGAAACAAACTGAAATATAGTATTACAATTTCTAGCCTATGTCAGGTACCAAGAGGCCCCTTTACAACTTACATTCTATCACCCAAAAAAACAAAGTCAACAGTAATAATACTCTCCAGTCCTTTAGTAAAGGTGGTTACACCGAAAGGGTACCCAGCATCATCTCACCTTGAGTAACAATTGGTATTTCATAATTCGCTGCACTGGTTTTATTAGCAAGTCTGTGAGCTGAAGTCTGTGGCCGAGACGCTGCTTTAAGTCCTAAAGATTGTAAAGTGAAGAGTGTTAGCGTTAAATTTTACTGGTTTTATTGGTATATACAACAGTACTTCTATTGTCATGGAGCTAAAATGAGACCAGAAATTAATCTAATCTTGAATTTGTGCTTCAAATTCTCATGTTCTTGTGACAACCTTAAAAGCCATTCCTCTGTTTTATTTCTACCATCTTTATTCCGAAAGTATTCAAAGCTGACTTTTCAAAGCTTTTCTTATAACCATGGGCCCCAGTTTGGATCCAAACCTGCAAAAGCTTATGTATATGAAATTAAATGGTAATGCTCAAATGCTTCCAATATTTGCAGAACTGAGACCTTAAGATGGTCTCATGGGGAGACTAATATGATGCTATCTGCAAAGGATTTAGGATAATGTGTTCAGTGAGCTGCTGGTAGAACAGTCACACAAGGTCCTGTACACCTCTTATGAGCTGCGGAAAGGATTTCTGTCTCAGCCCACAAAGGAATAAACCAGGCCTGAGGCTTCAAAACCACCTCTCCACAGATCCAATGACACCAATACCTATGCAATTACTCAACTACTATTCCATCCCACTGGCTGGAATGACAACCCTCAAAAGGGACTAGAAACCTCAAACAACTCTCACAGACAGGCAGTGAAAGGCAGATTTTACTTCCTCAACAATCCTTCATTATATCCAGCTAGAGATCAAGTACTCTTGCATGATGGAGGATGAATAGATTTTATTCTGAGTTTATTCATAAAACATTCCCACCGACTTCAACTGTGCTTTTGTCAGAGTCATGAGTACAGAATCAGTATCTCAAGAAGGTTTTATTTCTAATTATGAAAGAAATTATCTTTATAATTCATAATGTTTGCTTTTAAATGTATTTATTTTATTACTGCAAATGGTTATTTTTGCCTATTTAAGGCCCCCTGGGTTGATCTGCAGAACTGGTAGGCTACTATAACACACTTATAAGGCAAAACCTTGAGCTAAAGGTTTTATCTTAACACCTAATGCTTTATGTACAGCATCAAAGATTCTGATGAGTCTCAAAAGTACAGTATAAAGAAAGCAAAATTTGTCATTTGCATCCATATTGTAATCCATTCCTCTGTCTGCACTACTGTTCAATAATAAGTATAATGCATTAAAACTATCCTCTTTGGTCTACTACAAGTGAAGCTCATTCATTTGGTATCAATTAATTCATCTCAAATTTGAATATCAGTACTCCCCTTCTGAGAGTAGCAGTGGCAGTATTAATCTCTCTCAACTGTGAGAGTTCTGGAATGAAACCCAACTTCCACCCTGAAAATGTCTATTTTTTCCTCAGACTTACCTCAAAAAATGTATCAATGTATTCCGAGACAATGTGCTCAGACTTTGGTTTGTTTTGGCAGTAAACTATGTACATGTGCAACCTTCTCTCCTAGGAAGGACAAACAGAGGCATACAAATATAATGTACTAAAGTAAAAAATAAAAATAAAATAAAAAAGAGAGACAGGCTGAAATAGAGTAAAATAAAAAAGCATACATATTTAAATGTATACTTTTACATAAAAAGGGTCATTCTGCCTTCTGGTTGAGTAAGTTATGGATTAAGAGCAAATATACAGGTATACTTAAAACATATCAAACCTAAGAAATTAATCAGAGATTAAAAATAATCCTCAAATACTTTGACATATCTGTATAAGAAGAGTTAGTATATCTTGAAAATTGGATACATATGACCCAGAAATGTAACTGTACATACACAAACGTCCACACAAATACAACTCTTACTGCAACATTAAGAATGACAAAGTCATGGGAAAACAGACAATTTGGTTGTATATAGTATTTTGAATGTCAAAGTATTTAATAAAATTGGCATTTGAATTATTACTACTAAGCTGCTGATTAGTGTGGTATCCAGGTGCAGTACGCTATAATTATTTCCATTTTACAGCAAGACAGGAAGGAAAAAAACAGTGAGTGACTTGTCTAAGGCTGCAGAAAAAAGCAGTGCCAGAGCCAGAATTCAAATTCATGAATTCCTTGGCTCTTAAACTTGTGCCCTTTTCTTCCACTATAAGAGGCAGAAGTCCCATTGCAGAAGACATATGATGTGAGACTGGAGAGGGAGCTAAAGAAAAATCTGCATTATAATTTGAAAGGATGGTCATAAAACTACAGCGCCCTAAAAGAGGAGCTGAAAATGAGTTAAGAGACAGGTGCCACGTTAACAAGTTTCTCCCCACAAAGGCACTGCAAACAAAAATTAGATTCCTTGTTAACCTAATCCTGACCTGTGTGTGTGTGTGTGTCTGCCTCTTATCCAGAGTTGTTTTGTTCTACTGTCTTTTCAGCTGCACTGCTCCACAGATATGTCTTTTATATAACAAGGTTAGTCACTAGTAACATCAGTCATTAGCACTAGCTGCTTGAAAGAGGATGTTTGAACTTACATGCTTAACAAAGAGGGATCCCAGTTTTTCTGGATCTTCAAGGCACTTCTCCAATTCTCCTAAAAAGAAGCTGAACAAAGAAGAAATAATTTAGTTTGTACCACGTTACAGGCAGTCCCCGGGTTACGTACAAGATAGGGACTGTAGGTTTGTTCTTAAGTTGAATCTGTATGTAAGTCGGAACTGGCGTCAGCCGCTGCTGAAACTGATCAGTTTCAACCGTGGCTGAATCTGGACTCCAGTTCTGACTTATACAGATTCAACTTAAGAAATCCAGGCGTCCCCAAGTCAGCTGCTGCTGAAACTGATCAGTGGCTGATTCCAGGAAGCCTGGGGCAGAGCAACTCTGCCTTGGGCTTCCTGACAGCAGCTGCTGAATCTGACGAGGCAGCGGCTCTGCTCGGGTGTCCCTGGTCTGCTGGGGTGGCCCAGTGGCTTTGCTGGACCCCCCCAGCAGACCAGGGAGACCGGCAGAAGCTTTTCCCGCCCCGGAGGACACGGGTGGCGACCTGCCGCCCGTGAGCTCCGGGGCGAAAAAAGCCGTGGTGTGGGGGGGGGGGGGGGGTCCAGTGGCTTTGCTGGACCCCCCCAGCAGACCAGGGAGACCGGCAGAAGCTTTTCCCGCCCCGGAGGACACGGGTGGCGACCTGCCGCCCGTGAGCTCCGGGGCGAAAAAAGCCCTGTTCGTAAGTGCGGATCCGACATAAGTCAGATCCGTGTAAGTCGTGGACTGCCTGTATATAGTAACAGGTAATACCCCCAAAAAAGTATACTTTGTGTAACTCTCTTCACTGCTGTGATCCTTGATTAGTGGGTATCCTGTCTGCAATTGAAGCCTATGTAAAAATATATTGCAGGGCTTCAAAGCAAGAGACATTGTTACATTAAGAAAAAAAAAAAGCAGCATAGTGTTTCATCATTGCAATCCTTTTGATTCTCATTTCTCAATCATAGATGGTGCTCAAAACTACACCATCACTGAAATTTCAGACTAAAAACTGTTTTGGACAATTCAAAGCATAGCCCAGAGTGAGTTTGGGTGAAGGAGGGGGTTGAGACCTGGGGCACGGGCGCAAGAGTGGGTGCATGGGTTTGGGGGGCAGACAGTTGGGGGGGAGGCAGGGACTGGGATGCCAGAAGCAGGCTGTGGATGGGAGATGCTTACCTGCATGACTGCTGGCCAGCAGCCCAACAGGTTCCCTGCCTTTCATGCTGCTCAGTTCAGTTCTTCAAACAGGCAGTTCCCATTGGCCGGAAACTGGCCAATAAGAGCTGCAAGATTGTGCTAGGGCTCACAGCTATTCACAGATAAACGGGGCTCTGCAGCCAGTTTTTCTGAGCAGCGAGTGGACACAGGGCAGGAAGAGAGCCTGACTAAGGTCCCACTGCACGTGTGGGCTGGATACAACAGCTTGGTGGGCTCGATCCAGCCCATGGGCCATATTTTGCCCAGTCCTGGCAGAACCTCTCACAATCAGAAGAGTACTTAAGTAGTGCATGTTACTGTATATGATACAGGATTTTTTCTTTTTCTTAATGCTTTTTTAATATGACGTACTAAACTGTCACTATAAATGTTACCTATACAAGACAGATCAATCAAGATGCTTGAAATGTTTACATATTTATTTTTGAATAGTCTCCATACATCTACAGGAATAGTCTGAACTCAGAAATTAATTTTAACCATAAGTGTGTAGGACCAGCTGTTGTGAATTTCTTTTGTTATTTGTTTTTATAACCCTAAAAACTTTTAACACCATCTGTTTCTGGTTTTGGCAATAAATCTAGTACTGTATAGATATATGATTTTTTCCTGTGTGCATTCAGTATACTATAAAATAATTTTCTACCAGCAACAGATAACTCAAATTAAAAACATACATACTCTCTGTGCCAGTCATAAATCTGGTGAATGTTGCCAAATACAATCTTGTCTTTCCCCTTCATGTCATCAGGTACACCGTCTTCTTTCATAAGTGCCATGTAACCCTGAAACAATCCACAGGTGATTTTTGTGAAAACAGTGTGTATTTTTCGCTTCCTTTCAAAGATGCTTAAGAATTTTTACAACACAAGCTCTTATTTAAGTCACTAACAGAGCAAAAGAATCCAACATTACATGGAACAGTGTATTTAGCTGTTAAATTAATTATTTTTATTGAAATAAGATTAATCTTAAATATGGTTATATAGCCAGATTTTTTATTTAATTTTGCAGTGTATCTTCATTTCCAACAAGTACATGAAGATCAAAATGCAATCAGTCTGGCAGGTTTCACATTTCCCAGTTTTAAAAAGTATTTCTTTTCACATTTACCCTGGTAATCCTTCTGTTTACAAAGACCAGCTTGTGGTCTCATATAATTTTATGATGTCCCATTTGAACTACTGAGGGAAATATATATCTCCTCATAGCATCCTCGGTCTGTGACCGTGTACAATTATTAAAAAGATGTCCATTCCTCTTATTTTACTTTACATTATCTTTCATAAAATAATTTTCAAAGCACCTTCGGCCATACGGACGCATAAAATGAAAGAAATACAAGCTTATCTGGAGGGACCCCAGTAAGAATTTGACAAATTGTCTCTCACCAATGTCCGTAAAATAGCGATAGAAATGTAGCCGTGTTAGTCTGGTGTAGATGAAACAAAATACAGGACTATGTAGCACAATACATATGTGCTACATAGTCCTGTATTTTGTTTCAATGTCTGTAAGAAATTGACAGGAAGAAAATTTTTTAAAATAGCTGGAACCAAAATTTGTAATAGATTATCCTTCTTACTAGTTCCCACTTAACCAAAGTAAAAAGTGTTATTTGTCAACCATTAAATTTGGAATATTAAAGACTTGTACATTAGCACTGACCTTCAAGCATATAGAGCAGTGATTCTTAAACTTTTTAAGACCGAGGAACACCAAACAATATATTTTTTTTTAAATGAGGAACACCAAGGATTTTGTGTGAGAGAGAGAGAAAAAAAAAAGTCGGGGGGGGGGGAAGGGTTGGGGGGAAGTTAGAGAAAAAAGGGGTCAGGGGGAAGTTAGAGGGGAAAAAAAGGACCGGGGAAGTTACTGAGCCAAAAAAGGTCGCCTGCCCCTTTCAGGGCGGCCATTTTGAATCTGTTCTCCGCGGCACACCGGTGTGCTGTCGAACACAGTTTAAGAAACACTGATACAGAGCAATGCTTTGATCCCACATGCTGAATTCATACTAAACTGTTTAATTCATTTAAGGCCTGGAGTATCTAATATTTATTCAACACTGCCTCACCTCGGAGATGGCCTTTAATCTAGTTGGCAGAACTTTCAACTGGCTCCTCTAAGGATATGACTAAACTTGTGGAAAAGGTATTTTTTGAAACATACCTAGATCCAGCTAAATGAGTAAATCACAGAATCTAAGCACTTTACAAAGCAAGCCAGTGTCATAATCTCAATTCTGCAAATGGGAAATGGATACAAAGAGGTGAAGAGATTTGCCTAATGTCACGCATTAGAGCAGTAGCAGGGTCAGTTGTAGATGCCAAGTCTCCTGACTGTCTATTCACTAGAGCACACTGTCTAAACCAATTAAACTGTGCATATTATTTCAGATGTTATTAGAAGTCACTAGTTAAAACATGAATGACAGTTACCTGGTAACTGGTGTTCTTTGAGATGTGTTGCTCATGCCCATTCTACTGAAGGTGTTCTTGATTGCTATGGGCACTGGAGCCAGAAGTTTTTCCCATAGCAGTACTTCTTTGTGGAGCATTTCTAATGTCCCCTGAAGTGGCGCCTCTATGGAGCGGTATAAGGAACACTGTGCGCTCCTCCCACCCTTGGTTCCTTCTTGCTGGAGACTCCCACAGTAAAGGAAGGGAGGGATGCGAAATGGGCACGAGCAACAGATCTCGAACACCAGCTACGGAACAGGTAACTGTCTTTTCTTCTAGTGATTGCTTGTGTGCATTCCAAAGTAGGTGATCCCAAGCAGTATCCATCGGGAGGTGGGTAAGGCCTGAGGAACAAGTAGGTTGCAGCACCAGTTCTGCAGAGCCCAGTGCCATCTTGAGACTAGCAAGACGAGTGTTTCTTATAGCTACTGAACATTTCATGCAAAGGTTCCTGGCAGGAGTGGCTCATTTGACCTGGAGCCTGCTGGGGCTTCCACTTTGTGCAGGCAGGGGTCAGAACATAGAGACCAAATGTCTTCAATGTTGCATATGAGTCTTTAATCCCATGGAGCTTAATCTCCGTCTATTCCTCTAATGGGGCTTTCCCATCAAATGGCAGATCCTGAAGACAATTTTGAGCCTCTACAGCCAGGTGAACCCATGATGCTATGCACAGAACACTGCAAAGGGCATGGTCTGAGCCACCACATCCACTGTGTCTGAAGCCGCCCTGGCAGCTGCAGCACCCTCCTCCAGGAAGGCCTTATACCTCTTCCTGTCGGTATCAAGGAGGGAGCCCTCAAACTTGGATACATTCTGCCAAAAGGTAAAAATCATACTGCCCCAGGAGGTCCTGGTGGTTTGCCTCCTCAGCTGGCAACAGGATGATGAATAAAGCTTGCCTCCAAATAACTACAGTCTCCTGGAGTCCTTATTCTTAGGGGTTGCCGCAGGCTTGCCCCAATGCTGTCTGTGGTTTACTGCTTCCACCACCAGAGAGCTGGGGCGGGGGGAGAGGAAGGGGAATATAGATATTCACAGCCCTTGGAAGGCACACAGTATTTCCATTCTGTCCTCTTGGACAGAGGCCAGGGAAGATGGAGTTTACCTTAGACCCTTCACGAAGTGGTAAGGCCACTCTGGCCATTGCTGTGGCGCGGGGCACATTGAAGAGAGAGCCTGAGGGTTCCTCAAGTTCCCCTGCCTGTAGGTTAAGGTTTGAGGTCATGCTTTTCAAGAGCTCTTGATGAGCCTAGGTCTCCTCCTAAGGGAAAGCAAGAGGGGATGCAGTGAGGTTCCAGAGTTTGGTCCTCCTTGCAATGTGGGGCTGAGAAAGGAAAGTGGAGGACATTTCCAAAGTCCTGGCCACTGGATGGACCACTTGGGAAGGGTGGGATGGGGACCCATGGGTTGCAAGGGCACTATGGCGCTGGCCATCTCATCAAATTGGGCACATTTGCTTTTGGGCACTGGCTGCAGCACCAGTGGTACAGGAGGCCCCACTGATAAGGGTTGCTCTGGTGCCGTCTGGGGGCCCTGAAGGGCAGCAGGACTGGTGTATGAGCTACCACTACACGGTGACAGGATTCCATGTAGGCATGTCGAGTTCAGAGCTAAGCTTGCAACCTTGAATCTGGTGTCAGGGACCAGGAGCCCCTCCTGAAATGGCTGCTGCTGGAGCGGCTGCAGTCGATGCATTTGTGATGGCTGGTGATCTATGCTGTACGAGTGGTGCCATATTCAGGACCCAGACTGCAAATTGGAGTGGGACTGGCACCTGTAGGTTCCCACATGAGTTGACACATGAGGAGATGGGTGCCCATATGAGGGGCCACTGTTCTTCCAAACTGTTGCTTGGGTGGTACCGTGGTCTCGGCGACCTTTGTTATCAATGTTCCTGATCCTGGTGGGGAATGGGTGTGTCTGAAGTTCTGTGCCCCTGTGCCGGAGAGCCATGCAATGAGACTATGTGTCTGGGTTTCCAGGTCAACAAAGAGGGGTCTGAAGAACTGACGTGCCCTGGTCCAATTCCTGATGATTGTGCACTGGAGAGCTGTGTCTGGACCCTTCCCTCGATGGAATCTGGCATCATTGGGATGGGGACCCAGCAGGTCTGAGCACAGGCTTGCCCTGTGACCAGGGAGCTACAGAGACCTGGGTGGCTGGCACTGAAAGAGTCAATATCTCCTGCACCACATGTGGGGTGTTGAGTGTTGAGAGCACTTGAATGTGGCTAAAAGTCCTGCTCATGCCTACAGAGTTTGGGAGCCTGTGGCAGCGTGGAGCCGGGGGCCCCCATGTGCCCCTGGCAGCACGGGGCTGGAAGCTGTAGAAGCCTGGCCACTCATGACAGTTCTGGGCTGAGAACCCTGACAGCCCGCAGCAGCGTGAGGTGGGAGGCCAGAGAAGCCTGGCTATCCACAGCAGCATGGGGCTAGGGAAATCTGGCTACACGTGGCTGCATGGGCCAGGACTAGAGAACCCCAGCTGCCAATGGCAGCCTAGTGTTGGCGCTGGCAGCAGCAGAGCAGACAACCTGGCTGGGGAGAGAGAAGAAGGGGCCAGAGACAGGGGGCCAGCTGTCTCGGGCCTGTGGCAGGGGACACCTCCCCTGGTCTGGCAAATTCAATCCTTCGGGACCAGTTAGGTCCCTATGGTGCTGGACCAGGGAGGTCCAATCTGTACAACAGGGAACTATCTACATAGAACAAGAAAATAGTAAAAGGGGGGGAAGGCTGCAGAGGTTAGCTGGAGTGAAGCAGTTCACTGATAGCAAGAAGGATGTGAGGGTAATGGGAACATACAGAGCCCATTATACTGTGCCATGGAGGCACCACTGCAGGGATTTCTAGAGGCACTCCCCTATGGATAATGCTAGGGGAAAAACTTTTGGTACCGGTACAAGTGGCAACTACTGTGGAATGCAGATGAGCAATCACTTGAAGAACAACTAATTCTCTTATAGGGAAAAAAAGGATTCATGAAATAGCATGAACGAGAGACACTTGGAATTCTATATCAAATCCTGAATTTTCTTAAAATCCTATAGAAAAACCCTCACTTAATGAAGACTCTTTCTTCTAACAGACAGAGTAGTGTACAAGCTACAAAGACTACTGGCAATGGGGTTAACAAAAGCAGTTTAGGACTGATGAACTAACATACCTCAACTACATAACCCAGATCTCGGACGTAATCTCGTTCCGTCTCCACTAATTCCTGTAAGACATAGCTACAAAGAAGAGGAAAAGGTGAAAAAACATTCAGGGAGAAAACTGTACTGATGTGGACAAAAATTGTTAAAAAGGATTGAGAATGGGCAAACAGCATTTTCCAAGTTTGTAGTAATGTACGTTTGGTAAAGTAGAATTTATATTTGACTTTCCAAATCTGGATACTTCACTATCTTCAGGGCATCCTTACTTCTTGTGTTTACCAAACTAAAGCTGCAGCAGCTAGGACTTCTGCTGCATGGATCAGGACAATTGAAACATTAAAAAAGTTAAAAAGCATTCCAATATATGACTCACAATAAACAGCACGAGATTCATAAGCAAGCATACTGAAGATGTCTTTATTACTTTAATGCCAACATACATATGGTTAATTTTCAATACCAGCGGAAATGCTAAAGAATATGTCTGGATCTTCCAACTATCAGTTGGGTTCAAGGTAAAGAAAGACAAGTTCAGAAAAAAAGTAATTATTTACGGTTTTTGGAAACTAAAGATACCCCTGAGAATATTTAAAAGCCAGCCTCCTCTTCCATGAAAAAGACTTATATGTTTGACAAGACTTGTGTGTGAACTTAGTACCAAAAATACTATGCCTGATAATTCTCTTTGAACGACTCATTTTCAGGAAGCATTATCCATTTGCTGCCTAACATGCAAGCTGGAAGGGAAAACAAACTACTACTTCTGTTAAAATAGACTATTTTGAAAGGATGCAAAGGACTTTATAAATGTTACCTCATTGAGAACAGAGGGGAAATATAAATTTGTAAGCCACTCTTACTGTCGTCTTTTTAAAGAGCTGGATTTCCTTTCTTCCATCTCATCTATGGGTGACGAGGATGAGAGAAGGGAGTTGTCTGAAGGGTTGAAAGATGGACTGCTGCTGTCACCTTGATCTACCAACAGTGAACTCGGACGATCTTCCAGTGCCTAAAAGTATGTTAATAAAATGTTGCAAAATGTATTCATCTTACCTTCTATGCATGCTGCCTTTAAATGCATAAAGCATTGCAAAAAATTACACGCAACTATAGTTGTTAAAAAATGGAAACTCTATTGTACGCTCAAATATTTACATTTTCTTATTTGGAAAGTGGAAGTTAAATCCTAGTGAGAAACATAGAAAGGAGCATAAACTCTATTACATTAAGTGTAAAAATATAATAAGAAAAGCCAAATAAGAGTTTGAAGAACAGCTGACCAAAAACTCAAAAAGTAATAGCAAAATATTTTTAAGTACATCAGAAACAGGAAGCCAGCTAAACAACCAGTGGGACCAGACCCTTGGATGACTGAGATGCTAAAGGAGCACTCAAAGATGATAAAGTCATTGTGGAGAAGCCAAATGAATTCTTTGCTTTGATCTTCACTGCTGAGAATGTTAGGGAGATTCCCAAACCTGAGCCATTCTCGTTAGGTGACAAATCTGAGTAATTGTCCCAGATTGAGGTGTCATTAGAGCAGGTTTTGGAACAAACGGATAAACTTAACAGTAACAAGTAACTGGGACCAGATGACATTCAACCAAGAGTTCTGAAAGAAGTCAAATGTGAAATTGTGGAACTATTAACTGTGGTTTGTAACCTGTCCTTTAAATCAGTTTCTGTACCTAAAGATTGGAAGATAGCTAATGTGACACCAATATTTAAAAAGGGCTCTAGAGGTGATACTGGCAATTACAGATTGGTAAGTCTAATGTCAGTACTGGCCAAATTAGCTGAAACTATAGTGAAGAATAAAATGGTCAGACCTATAGATGAACATAATTTGTTGGGGGAAAAGTCAACATGGTTTCTGTAAAGAGAAATCATGCCTCACCAATCTACTAGAGTTCTTTGAGAGGGTCAACAAATATGTGGACAAGGGGGATCCAGTGGATATAGTCTACTTAGTTTTCCAGAAAGCCTTTGAACAAGGTTCCTCTTCAAAGGCTCTTAAGTAAAAGTAAGTTGTCATGGGATAAGAGGGAAGGTCCTCTCCTGGATTGATACCTGGTTAAAAGATTTCAGAATGGAGAGGAACAGGTGATATCCCTCAGGGATCCATAGTGGAACCAATCCTATTCAACCTATTTGTAAATGATCTGGAGAAAGAGGTAAATAGCGAAGTGGCAAAATTTGAAGATGATACTAAGCTGTTCAAGATGGTTAAGACCAAAACAGATTGTGAAGAGCTTCAAAAAGATCTCACAAAGCTAAGTGATTGGATAACAAAACGTTGATAAATGTACAGTAATGCACATTGGAAAAAAATAATCCCAGCTATAAATACGATATAATGGGAACTAATTTAGCTAAAACTACTCAAGAGAGAGATCTTGGAGTCATTGTGGATAGTTCTCTGAAAACATCCACACAATGTGCAATGGTCGTCAAAACAGCAAGCAGAATGTGAGGATCATTAAAAAGAGATAGGGTATGTCTACACTACAGCACTAATTCGAACTAACTTAGTTAATTCGAACTAAGCTAATTCGAATTAGTGCATCTAGACTTAAAAACTAGTTCGAATTAGCGTTTTGCTAATTCGAACTAGCATGTCCATATTGAGTGGACCCTGAACCGAAGTTAAGGCTGGCCAGAAGCAGTGCCAGCAGGGCATCAGGTTACGACTTAGAGTGTGGAGCTGCTGTCTCAGGCTAGCCGAGGGCTGTGCTTAAAGGGACCCGACCCCCACCCCGGACAGACAGTTCTCAGGGTTCCCCGCTTGCTTGTCTACCTCGATGAGGGACAGCAAAGCAGTCCTGACTTGGAGTGCCCTGAGTGTCCTCACTTGGCACATCACAGCACTAGGTCATCAGCCCGGCAGCACTTGCTGGGGGGGGGGGGGGGGGGGGGCAGGTCAATCGGGAGGCTGTCAGGATCCAGGAGACCCTGCTGGAGAGCTTCCACTCTGAGGTGCCCGCAGAGCCACCCCAGTCCTCCCCATCGGGGGCTCGTACCCCATTCCTCCCTCACCTCTTTCCACTTAGCCCTCCCTAGCCCCCCTTCTTGATGTAAAAAATAAAGGACACGTGTGTTCAAAAACAGAAACTCTCTTTATTTAACAAAACTGCGGGTGAGGGGGGGAGCTTAACCTCTGGGGAGACTGGGAAAAGGTGATGGGAGAGGGGAAGAGAGGGTGGGAGAGGGGAGGGGGAAACCTGGGAGGAGGGAGCTGGAAGGGGGAAGTCAGGGGAAGAAGAAGGAGGGGAAGTATCAAACTATGGTACACCCTCATCTTCAGTACTGTGTACAGATGTGATCTCCTCACCCCAGAAAAGATATTTTGGCCTTGGAAAGGGATCCGAAAAGGGCAACTAAAATGATCAGGGGTTTGGAACAGGTCCCATATGAAGAGAGGCTAAAG